GCCGCCAAGAACGGGGCGGCCGGCAAGAAGTCCGACGCCTCCCGCGACGACGAGAGCAAGGAAGCCAAGAGCACCGACCCCGACAGCACGGGCGGCCCCGGCCCCAACCCCAACCCCGCGCCCAGCTGCGGCGGAGGCGGCGGTGGCGGACCCAGCCCCGCGGCCGGGCAGGGAGCGGGGGGGCCCGGCGGTCCGGGGGGCGAGCCGGGCAAGGGAGCGGCGGGGCCCGGCGGGCTGGCGGCGGCGGGGCCGGGGCAGGGCTGGGCGCCGGGGCCCGGGCCCATCACCTCCATCCCCGATTCGTTAGGGGGCCCCTTCGCCAGCGTCCTCTCCTCGCTGCAGCGGCCCGGCGGCACCAAAGGCAGCCTCGTCAAGAGCGGCATGTTCTGAGCGGCGGCGGCGGCAGCGGCGGCGGCCCCTCCCGCTCATTAGTATCCACCGCCCGCCTATAGCAATGACCAGGGGCTCGGGTTGCGCCGGGCTCCGTGGGGCAGGGGCCCCGAGTCCCCCCGGGGGGCCGCGCCCGGCTCCCCTCGCCCCCGGCCCGGCGGCGGGGCCGGTCCCGCAGCGTCTCCGCCGGGGCGGGGCGGGGGGGCGGCTGCGCGGGGGGCGCTGCGCGGGCGCGGGGACAGCGGCGGGGCCGCGGGGACTCTGCCCGCGGGTGGCCTGGCGGTGAGGGGGGGCACCCTGCCCGCCCGTGGGGGTTTTTAAGTTCCTTTTCACTGTCAGCCTGAGGGACAAAGTTTCTTCCCCTCCTCTCCTCTTCCCACGCCACCCTCCCGCCGCCCCCGACCCGCGCCTGTGGGCGGTTCTTCCTCCGCCATCCGATGTCACTGTCCCTCCGTTGGGTCCTGGGTCTCTCCTTTGCCCCCGCCAGTGGCGCCCCGCCGGGTTCGGCCCTGACCCGGCGGTCGCTGCCTCCGCACCACGGATCCGGACCTTGCAGGGCCCACGCCTCTCACGGCCGGCGGCCTGTATTTATTATTAATTAATTATTATTAATTATTATTATTACACGGTCCACGCAGTTTTTAGGCATCTCCGTTAGGGTTTTCTAATTTTATTTTAAAACTATAGCTCTTAGTTGAATGTCGCCAGGTATGCTTTCTCTTTTTCCGTGTCTTTCTACAACTGTGTTCTGTGACTCAACTGTATAGTGTTAATATCAGTACAGACTTGTCTAGTTGACCGTATAAATAATGTTTTCCCTTCTCGTAGTCTCTATGGCGTGTCTTTATGGAGAAATAAGGTTCTCACGGGTTCGGTTCCCTTTGCGTTTAGAGACACCAGGTTCAGGCAATTATATATATTTTTGTTATCGGTTGCATGTCGTCTCATTTTTTCTTTTCCCCACCTGTTGGAATATGTTTGTGAGCATAATCGTCATAAATTATGTTCAGGGTTTTCAGATTTATTTATATGTGGTTAAAATGAATGCTTCTATTTAAAAGGGGAAATATTTCTACATGTGCGTATAGTTTTCCAAGAGTGTACCATTAATTGATTGTTGATAATAAAAACCAAAAGCAAACATAGCTAAGGTGCTCTTCCTACTTCTTGGTAGGGCTTTATTTGGGGGGGAGGTCTCGGGGTTATTTCTGACAGAGATCAAAGGCGCATATCAAAGAACCTCGACTGAGTCATCAAAAGGAGATGTGCTCAGCAGCATCAATTACTATTAGGAAGACCGTATCTGCGGGTCCCATCATTACTGACTAATTGTGCCCTTATTAATTATTTGCAAATAGGTTGAGTGGGGGGAGGAACATGCATCAGATCTGGCCTTTTGTCACTACCCTGAAAATTAGAGATGGTCAATATTAAGCGATTTCTGCTAAAAGGAAAACAAAATTGGCACAAACCATAGGCCCGGTTTGCCATTGGGAGCAGCATCCCACCGGTCAGCGGAGAACCTTCGCCAGCCCTTACATACGCAAGTGGAAGGTCAAATAGGCTTCGCAGCGCTGCAGCTTTCCGCAGACTCTTCCGCTGCTGAATGCGGGCGCAGAGGGTAGAGAGAGGGGCAGCCCGCGGGGACTGCACGGCTGAGGGCTCGGCTCCCACCCCGACCAGGAGTGGGGCAGCGGCCTCACATGCGGGGTCCCGTGCTGCTTGCAGCGCCCGGCAGCGGGAGCCGAGCGGTGGGACCGACGTGCTGGGCCCCCGTGGGGCACGGGATACTTGAGCACACCCGGCGTCGTCGAGTCGAGCTGGCACAGCGCTCCCCTCGAAATCCTTCAGGCAAGGGCGGGTCCCTCCCCCGAGAAAAGCCGGGGTCGACGCGCATCCCTGTGCCACCTCCCGGAGCTGCCCCCGCAGCCGGGTTTGCTGCAGGGACGCCGGGGCAATGAACTCTGTCTGACTCTAGCACAGTACGTGATTAAAAAAAAAAAAAAAAAAAAAAAAAAGTCTGTGGGTTTGGCAGGGAAGCAAACTTGGCAAAGGCATTGTCCTCTGCAACTGTGCAACATCTGCCTGGCTGGGGAACTGAGGAGAGCACCATGAAAAATGTGGCAAATGGGACAAGTGCTGTTTCACTAACAAAATACTTCAATTATCAGTTTTAAAGTGCTGTAATAAAATATGCAGTATATTTTCTGGAGAAAAAAACTGAATGCATTTCTTGAATATATGTTTTGTTACAATGTGGGTAGATTTTGCCATTTTATTTTTTCTTCCAAAAGTCATTCCATGACCCAAGAATATCTTTGTTAAAAGTAAATGGACTGTCTCTAGGAATTATGCAGCTTTAGACTATGACTGAAGTGACCTTTGGAGCTTTTAGAGAAGGTGAGACCTTGTATTAGCAGTAAAGCAAGCAAGCAACCAAAGGTAATGTAAAGGTATTTCTCCTGGTCAGGCCTTGCTGTATGACGATGATGAGCTTTCATTTTATGGCATGCAGTTTTGGTTTGAAAACATTAAGAAATTACAACATACTATTTCTTTGGGTATTTTTTTGCCAAGTTCACTATTTTGTCTGCTAAAACTCAGGCTTTATTTCTAATATGAAGGTTTCAGTTTTCAACAGTGGATATAGCTACATGTCAGCTAGGCCTTTTCTCTCTTTTAATTTTACTACACTGTAAACTGATTTGCATTTTGATTTATTTTCTCCCTGCTAAACTAAATAGGATGTGTCATTTACATCTCCCACACTCCCTAAGGTTCAAACTTATAAAATTTTTCCAGAACTGAACCACACTCTCCTGTTTCTGAAAATGCCTTGCAGAAGCGATACCAGGATAGTACCAAGCTCTGCTGTGTCTCTCTCAATAACGGTTCATACAGAGCTAAGATCACCTCTCTCTTTCTGATCATAATTTTTTTCCCTTAGGTATCTAAACTTCTCATTAGTCCTTTTTTGGTAACTTCTGCTTTGTCACAGACCCATAAATCCTTTCCTGAGCCACTGTTTTCCATGTTCTGGTCACCCACACAGTAAAGGGAACCATTGCAGGTCTGAGGCTTGTGGCACACACCATTGTGCCCATGGCAGACCAGTTGGAATGGTTAATTCATTAAACTTCATGATTGTTCCATCAGGAAGAAATGGATGGTTTGAAAATATGTGAAGTTTACTTCTGCCTCCCTGCAAAGGTAGAAGTTTAAAAAGGAGTATTAGTTAAATAAATAACCTACAGGATTGCTGCTGACCTTTACAAGCATAGGAGCTGGAGGAGGCCCATGGGGTACTCAGCAGGAGTCCAGGCATGAAGAGGATGCCAAAAAGCTGCTCTCCAGTGGTACCAGTGAAAGTCAAATGGGCAAGCTAATCCATAACACCAGGAGATGCTTTGGGGCTCACAAGGTGAGGAGGTCTGGGCAAAAGGACCTAAGAAGCCGAAAGATGATGCAGTAAAGAATTGAGAGTTTGTTATTTCTGTTGGTTTTACCCCCTCACATAGTTCAAATAAAGAACTATTTTATGATCCAACTCAAATTCAATATGAACATATGTTGTGTTTTGAAGAGTTCAGAGGTAAATTCACATTGTATTTTTGGAGCAACTTGAGTGTTTTGTTGTCTGTTCTTCTAAATACCAAGACTTAGAATTCAGGTCTAATGTTGAATTTGGCTCTTGCACCAACTTTCTCTTCTTTCTCTCCAACACATGAACAGAAAGAGTAATTCCTGACTGCAATATGAATCTCTTATATGGATGCATGACAATGCAAACATTAATTTTGCTACTGAAGAATATGAGGCCAGCATACAGTAAAAATACAATTAATAAAAACAATCCCTTTCACTTACAAGTAAATGTGTCTAAATTGTTTAATTTTATATATTTGCACTTGAGTTCTCAAATTATTACCAAACAGTGAGAAAAGGAGATGTCACGAAAAGTGCCTATGGTCTATTAGAATATATTTTAAAATCCTCTTTTCCTCCCACCTTTTTTTGACACAGTTGAAGTGTAGCTAGGAGGAGTCCCCTGAATGAGCCAGTCTCCAATCGAGGCCAACAACTTACTGCCTTTCTGGAGTCGAAATCTGGGGTTTCTTTACATGGGAAGGAACCCCACTGTACAGAGGGGGAATGAGACATGAAGATCACTAGTAATTCCAAGATACTTACTAAACTAGAACATGCCTGTAACTCTTGCTGCATATTTAGCATGAATCATTAAGAGCCAAATATTTATCTCACCTGTAAAGCAGATCAGTGCTATGAAGGCCATATAACAATGGGAGATGAAGCCTTCTATTTCTGCTATCAGTTTCATTTGGTTTTTCACCAGCTATCACTCAATGACTGTTACGAAATAAACGAGTGCCTTCATCCCAGGTGCTACTAAAATTTGTCTCCATCTTAGAAAAACAGCTTTGTGCCTTATACTTCAGGGAAGAGCTTAACAAGTATGCCAAGGAATGATTTGAGAGGAAAATCATCTTCTTGATTTGTGGGGAATTTATCCAGAAACAGCTCAAGAAAATTTAGCTGTGAAAATAAAGCTCATGCTTTCATATTTTGGGTTGGAAATTTCCTTTGGAGACAGGAAATCATCTTTTGGGCTTATCCTTGTCATGACTATCATATCAAGAGGAAATTAAAATATTTGCCCTTGAAAATAAATACTATTTCATACTATTATGGCAGGCTGAGGTCATACTTCTTCCCATTCCTTTCTCAAAGAGAGGTAGTAAGGGAATGCCAATCACATCTCTTGTTGCATCAAATAGTGTTTAAATTACATATAAAGTCTACCAACAGTATTAGATAAAAGTTCTATGCAGTCTTGGGAAGTACAAGTGAGAGAAACTGTCTTTCCAGAAGTCTTAAATCTAGTGTCAGTATTAAGGCCTCTATCAAAAGGCGTAACATATGGATGTGGTCTTCAGGAGCATTCACTTCAATATTGTTTCATAGGAAGACGTTCATAGAAA